CGTGAGGTGTTTTGTGTAAATGTTTAGTCCATAATGGATAAGTAGTCAGCAATGTGATTCTAATAGAACAAATAGAACAAATAGGATCCAGACACTGTGCAGCCTGATAAGCAGCCTAGTAACATAGTGAGTATTGCCTAAAGTAAACCTACATTATGCACAAATCCCGCTGTGCTAATTGATAGGTGTTTTACAGAATTCACAAACTGTCAGACGTCTCTACACAATGCATCTTAAGAGACAGATAGAGCTGGCAGAGGGCAAGATCGAAGTGAACAAGAGAAAGCTGCAGGACATGGACCTTGAGATGGAAATTAAACGCAAGACACTGAGGAAACTGGACTTGGAAATCCAGAAACTAGAGAGAGAAGTAAGTGATTTCAGTTCACACTGCAACCATGACTGCACAATGTATTAATCATCGTTATTTTTTCTCTCAAAAGCTCCAAGCTGACAAGTGATGACAGCAAAATAAAAAAAAATACAAAAACATTGTGGTCTCGTACCTTTTTCATTAATGTCCAGTACACTATATAGTTATTGATCCAGTGAATTGGAACTAGAATTTGGGAAGATAACCACACAGTGTGTGCTACTAATGTCAAACAAAATGCATGCACACATGAAAGAGTGACATACATTATGCTTTATTAAAGGATAGGCGAAATCAAAACAAAATTAACTGAAATAATTTGCTATATATTGTTCTCTGACCAGTCTACCATTTATGTTATCTGGGAAGATGGCAGCATTGTCCCAGTCAATATCCAAAGCAACTCTGGGAGCCCTTTCTTTTCTTAGGCTGGCAATATTGTGCAGCACTGTGCAGGCAACAGTCACGTCACAGGCCCTGTCTGGGGAGACCCTCAGGTGGTGCAGGCACTGAAATCGTGATTTCAGGAGGCCGAAGGTCATTTCGATTCGAGCCCTCGTTCTGGCATGGGCATGGTTGTAAGCCTGCTGTGCTGGAGTTTGGGGGTCAACAGGAACGTCTCACAGGCATAGCCTTTGTCTCCTAGCAGCACACCAGAGAACTCACCTGAGAATACAAAATATAATTCTTACAACTAGCAGAGTAAAACTTCTGACACACACATGATGTCCAGGGTGCTTAAAAAAATTGGGGTGGCTTACCTAGTGAGAGTCTCTGGTAAATTCTACTGGCCCGAAAGACTCTGGAGTCATGGACCGAGCCAGGCCACTTTGCCTCTAAATTTGTGATAAGGCAGTCAGCATCACAGATCATCTGTAACAATAACATGTAACCTATTAAGGTCATTTAATGCACAGAAATAATTTATGTAGCTGACAGTAACCATAAATCATTCTTACCTGAACGTTGATACTGTGGAAAGATTTCCTGTTAACATGCAAACACTTATCCACTATGCGCATCCATCCCTCCATCCATCCATCCAAAAGAACAAGCATGTCTGGCCAAAAAAGGACCTGGCAGCAAGTCAAGATTAAGTACAAGAACATTTTGCAGGCTGGTAAGTGACTTGATGGGTGAATTTTTTTTTACAAATTAGGTGAATAGTGTCTGCTGACATATTTTATTGTCTGTATTGATTTTAGCATAAAAAAAGGCTCATGTATCTGGCACGGGCGGTGGCCCTCCAAACCAAGACTTCACCACAGCAGAGGAGCTGGCCCTGGAGTTGATTGAATAAAGGCCAGTGATGGAAGGGATCCAGGGAGGGACAGCCACTGACTCTGGCCCAGCAAGAGAAACTGGCCTCTTCACACAAGGTACATTATTGCCATTCTACTGCACATGGTAAACAATCAAATATTTAGATTTTTTTTATGTGGAATGTCTGACTTTGCCTTACCTTGCAGTGTCTGGTAACACACTTACACTTCTGGAGCCACCAGACTATGATCCGCCGGTGAGTACTCTTTATTAAAATCATAGGCTTGGCACGTGCTGTCAAAACTATCAATACAAGTTCTATTGAATATCGCAGAGGGAAGGCACATCTGCAGCAGTGGAGTGCACTTCTGCCGATGATGAGACGGTGTCGCTGGACTCCAGAAGGCTTGAGGTGTCATGTCAATTTTGTGTACATTTTTAGTCCATAATGGATAAGTAGTCAGCAATGCGATTCTAATAGAACCTATATTTTTAACATGATCCAGACACTGTGCAGCCTGATAAGCAGCCTGGTAACATAGTGAGTATTGCCTAAAGTAAACCTACATTATGCACAAATCCCGCTGTGCTAACTGATAGGTGTTTTAAGAGACAGATAGAGCTGGCAGAGGGCAAGGTCGAAGTGAACAAGAGAAAGCTGCAGGACATGGACCTTTGATACTGATTTGAACGTTGATACTGTGGAAAGATTTCCTGTTAACATAACCTCCCTCATGTGCCCCTGAGGGGCGTTTGATACGGATATGGGTGCAATCCACTGCACCAATGACATTTGGGAAAGCCAAAAACATTTGTCTTGCCTAGCTTTGCATTTGTTTTGCTTGGTTTGGTTCCTTTTCATTTTGTTTTCTGAGAACTTTCCAGAGCCGAGTGGCATCATCAAAGTCGTTAATTATAGATAGATAATTAAAAAAAAACTCGTGGCCTTGTTAGAGTTATATTTGCTCTAACAGATTCCTTGTACAGCATGCATTGAAACAACAGTTTTGTTTCCATAGCCAGAGCTGCGACAGCCTAAATTCTCATTAAGGTCATGTTTTTGCATCATAATGTTTTTGTTTTTGCATGTTGAGAGCACTCCAGATCAAATAAAGGCTGCAATGCATCAGACAGACATCAAATAAAACCTCCCAGGCAAATCTGTTTGAATATGTTGTAACATGACTGAAAATGAGGTCAAATGTCTGCAGTGACTGCATTTTGAAAGTTTAAGTGTTTTGCACCCTCATCAGATTAATTATCCTCCATATTTCTATACAGATGATTGACTATGTTATAGGCAAACGCTATAGACAGACATACAGCGTAAGACTTATGACTATGTAGTTTGTTAGTGGTGAATGTTGCTGAATAGACCTGACTGTAGCATCTGCAGCATAAACGTAAGGTCAGCTAAAATTCACCCCCATTCAGCAGCAGTTCATCTTAAACTGCAGTACAACAGTAAGACGTCTGAGCCAGACACCACATATACCTTCTACACACAGTCAATACAGCAATTATAAGATGACAGGACCAGATTCAATATACACTAACACAGCATCTTTGTTAACAATCTCCCTGAACTGATTCAGCACCGAGCGCATCACAGCCAAAGCATGGCTTTCACCGCGGTTCATCTGGTTTTCGTAAAACAGCGCCCTCTGCTGTACACAAAAACACCATAACGAGCCAGTTTACCTGTTAAAGTAACTATTTCATTAACTGTTGGGAAAATATCTAAAAATATTTGTACATTTCTTTTCCTATTATTATTCTATCGCTTTAGCTAACTTTGACTTAATAATTTAGGATCTAATCATTTTTGGCCATGCCTATCTCTTCTTATTTATTAGTCATATGAAGCGTCTCAGAGTCGTCTCTTCACTGTTGCAGATGCAGCTGATAGAGACCCTGACCTTCTTGTCCTCATGTTGTTGTGCATCTGGACCTTCAACTTGTCTCTCTGTCCTGTTTAGATTCAGTTTGCAGTGTTGCCTTCATCTCTCAACAGGCTGATCATGAAATCCTAGAGAAATATGTTTAAATATATGAAGAGTTCATTTGCAAAAACAGATAACTCCGTTTTTTAACAATTTTCAAAAATCTTTTTTTTTTTTCATTGTGCATTCCAGTTAATCTCAATCAAACTGCAGTTGGGTTATGTAGATTAGGTAAAAAATAACTAAAAAAAATACAGTTAACTAACACAATAAAACACAATAAAAACATGATAACAATAAAAAAACATGATTTTTGAAAATTAAAAAAAACTGAGTTATCTGTTTTTGCAAATAAACTCTTCAATGTTAGCCATTTTTGAAACCAAGACTGGGATTACATTTACATTTAGTCATTTAGCAGACGCTTTTATCCAAAGCGACTTACAAATGAGGACAATGGAAGCAATCAAAATCAACAAAAGAGCAATGATATACAAATGCTATAATAAGTCTCAGTTAGCTTAACGCAGTACACGCAGCAAGGGTTTTTTAAATTATATAATAAATAAAAAGAAAACAGAGCAAGCTAGTGTTAGAGGTCTTTTTTGCTTTTGTTAATTTATAATAAATGAAAAGAAAACAGATAGAGAGATTCGTCCTCGCGCGAGCCTATCGCATAACATCTGGTAGGGGGGGCACCTGGGGTGGCCAGCCAAATTTCAGGGGGGGTCGGTGCCACCCCTGGCCACCACGTAGACACGCCCCTGCTGGCAGGCCTGATAGTTCAAACATGAATCATTTGAGTTTAAGAATGTCTTGCATTGGTGTAATTAGTTGATTTTGAATTAATGTTGAAAGGGGTGTGACATGTTTCTCAAAAAAGATGCTGTTTGTTTAAAATAAAAATTAAAACAAATATTTAAAATATTTTCTCGCCTCATTTTAAAACGTCTCGTCACCCTATACAGTTAATGGTCTATGCATATAACAATAACTTTAAGCATATAACATTGTTAACTTTCAATAAAAACAATATAAATTATCAATAATAATAATAATAATAATCAAATTATCAATAACTTTATAACATTGTTTATTGATTAATTAAATAGCTACATTGTACTGCGATTAAAGTGGTGACTGAATAATAATAAACTTTTTTTTAGTTCTTTATTTAAAACAGAAACATATTACAATTTAAAATAGGTTTTCTATTTGAATATATTTTAAAATATAATTTATTGCTGTGATGCAAAGCTGAATTTTTTTGCATCATTACTCCAGTCTTCAGTCACATGATCCTTCAGAAACCATTCGAATATGCTGATTTGCTGTTCAAGAAACATTTATTCTTATTATCAATGTTGAAAACAGTTATGCTGCTTAATACTATTTATTGTATTTTTTGATGAATAGAAAGCAAAAAGAGCAGCATTTATTTAAAATAAAGATGTTTTAACATTATAAATGTCTTTACTGTCACTTTTGATCAATTTAATGTATCCTTGCTGAATAAAAGTATTCATATTTTAGTCAGTGTAAAATCAGTTTCTGTTGATTCACGTGCAGTACTCATGTTGGTCTATGACTGTTTAAGTCTGCTTTTGTACTAGACCTCAAAGCTTTTACAAAACCCTATAATGCAAAACTCTCCTTCAGTCCCCCACAATACATTTGATCAGTTTGTTCTCATCACAGTCTGTGCCCTTCACACAGTCAGCAAGAGCTTCCGTCATGCAGAGTTATGTCTTCAAGTGTCCTCTAAAGTCAAACAGGCCCAGAAGCTGTGAATAATTTGTCTTACAGAGAAGGTGAGCTGTGTGCCTTTGAAAGCCCTCAGGACTGAATCCTGACAGCTGAACTTCCTCAACCCTCTTCATCAGTCCTGACATGTGACTCAGCCACGCTTTTACCTTTCAAGTCCTAGAGAGTATAACACCCCTTTCCCTTCTTAAAGGGAGAGAGTTCACCCAAAAATGAACGATCTGTCATCATTTACTCATTCTCATGTTTTCATACATTGACTTGCTTTCTTCTGAAGAACATAAAAAGATATTTGGAAGAACATTTATAATCTTCTGAAGTTAAGATTTTCAGTCAATAATGAGTTCAATTTTGATCTGTTTGTTGTATGACTTCAAGCAACTTGGAACACTTTTAAAAATGAAGGTTTTTATTGGCATTGATGGTTCTATGAAGAACCTTTATATCCATGAAACATTTCCATTGTACACAAGGTTCTTTATAGTGGAAAAGGGTTTATAGTAAAAAGGGTAGATTATCAAAATGTTCTTTAAACTAAGAAACGGTTCTTTTAAGAAATGTTCACTGAAAGATTCTTTGAGGAAGCAAAAATTGTTATTTTAATACATCACTGCAAAAACCACCTTTATTGAGAGCATGAATTATATGAACCATATTCGCTGCTTTTTTTTTTAAACCTCTGACCCCAAATGTTCTTTCAATGCATGGAAAAGAGTTGTGTGAACAATCTTTAAATATTCTCCTTTTGTGTTCCGCAGAAGTAAGTTGTAAGGTTTTGAAACAACATGAAGTTGTGATCACATTTACTGTTATTTGACATAATTGGCATAATAAAATGGCAGAAAGCTGCTTGGTTTGAATATGACTTCTGCGTGAACTGTGCTTCGTACATTGCTAGACTGCAACTTTTTCAGTCCACTTTTTCAGCGGCATTGGTTTTTCCATTTCTCCCATAGAGATTTTTTAAAAAGTCTTTTAAAAAGCCACCACAACCAAACCAACCAGCTTCAAGGTGAATCACATTACAAACTTTGAAAGCAGCAAACACGTAT